AATGAATTGTCGACCAGGTTTTTTTTGTTACGACTGCCCAATGTATGGGGTTTGAAGAAGCTGTTCCGATGAAGCATAACTCATGGTGTTACTTATGGTTTTGAAAATAATTCCTTCACGTTTCTAGGTGACATCATTATCATCAATAGCGAGTCCAGCTCGATCTAACTCTTCCGCATCCATTTGCCTTGATGGTAAGTTTCTTTGAAGAAAAGCCTCAAAGAATAAGTGTTTGGCGGCAGTCTGCTACTCTCTCTAGATAAAAGCTCTGATTCAGGCAGAACTCATGGCGATCAAGTGAGTACATCATCACCTGCACCTGAAGACAGCATTAGTCGACAAGGAACTCCACATGGACTTCGTTTCGGTATTAATTTTTTCCTCACTCATAAATGTCTGTTGGTGCAACTTTCCATGAACGGGGGGGGCGTATTCTGTAAATTGAATAAGTAGGCATACAGTCTTATTCGCTGCAGTTGTGGCGTGTTAGAGGGCTAAATCTGGGGCGGCGCCAGCCCGTTCTTCACCAGTTGCCGAAGAGAAGAAGCGACAACAGTTGTGGAAAATGGGCTGGCGCGGCGCCAAACTCTGCCCACGGTAAAACGCACAGCTTACGGGGTGGTGGTGACCTGTCCTCTCGGAAGACTTGCCGACTTCTCACCAGTCCCTTGTTTACAACAGGTGAGTACATCATAACCTAAATAACCTCCCATTCAAGGCGATCAGCGTTTTTTCTTGTCCCATCTGTTCTGCTTGATTTTTCTCGTCGTTTTATTTACAAACGATTTTTCAGAAGCGCCATCGCCTCGGAGTGATCCGTGGCAGCGTCGGAAGTCGAAAATTTCGAAAGGGAAGTCTGCAGGCTCGACGCAATCCTCAGCTATAGAAAAAACAATTGCTCGTATGCGGGTTGAAAGCACAAAGTGCAACGGAGTTCCGGGAGGAATGGTGAGTGCTTCGTTGATCGTTTTTTTTTGTTTTTTTTTATTTGAGTTAAGGTTTTAGAGCTCGAATGTGAACTTAGCTGCACGAGATTATTTATTGGATATGATCGAGAAGATGGGTGGCAATGCTGTCAAGTACCCATCTCGAGATGATCTAGCGTCTTTTGTGACCGAAAAGATTGACAAAAGGAGGTTGGCTGTTATGCTTGTAACTAGTCGTCGTTATTCTTATTGAACCTTCTGCCTACCACTTTCACTGCGAAACTAATGTCCAGCGAATTTTTGATTTCACTTAACCGTTCAGCATTGTTGCAATTCAGGCCTTTCCGAGCCACTAGGCGGATGGTCGACGAATATGATAGCCTCAGAAGAGTTCGAAATGTTCTGGATAAGTATGGGAAGCATAAATCTAGCAGGAAAGCTGTCGATTCGAGCGCTCATCCTGATGAAGTTGCCAGAGTGGTTGAGAGGCAGTCGTCTTCCGAGCAAGCGAGGTTGGTATACTGTGACAATACTGTGCATCATTTTTGTACTAGAGAATTCATGCTATTTTCTTTTAGTGAAGATGGGGATAATGCTGCGTCACTATCTGGATCTGCTGTTACAGATGATGCCTCTGAAGCTATTGAGCGGCAAAGGTAGGTGAGGATAAGTGGAGAATAAGTTGTAATTGGAGGAGGGAGTTTGAAGGTTTGGAGCTATAACACCATGAATGTTAGCCAATACTTTTCTCCTTGGGTAATGGCGTGTTAGAAAGTCGATGGTTAGACTGTCGATTAAAGTTACTAGCTGTGTTCAAGTATTTGCAAAGTATTGAAATTGTATTCTTTCCACAGTTGAAACAGTAACATTCGAGCCAAGTCACGTTCATAAGAGAAGATTTCCAAGACACAAATTTCACGGAAAGAAGAATGTGGACGCTGTTTGGCGAGGGGCGGGGCATTTTGCACTTTAACGACTTCCCATCGACGTGTCGACCCATCTAGACAGCCTCTTCTCGAGTTGACAGGTTTTACCATGATGGCTTGACGAGCTTGCTCCAGCTTCACAAGAGTTCACAGGTTTCACCAGAGTGAGACTTGTAAACCGGAACTAGTGAAGCAACGAAAGTGCAAATGCCCCCCCCCTCCTGTCGGCAGACTGCGCCTGAAACTTTTCTATGGAAATGTCCCTGAACTGGCGTACTGTAACGAATCCACTAAGCACAAACTGTGTGAACAGATGAGCAAATACACCTTCTTCACCATTTCTGAAGAAACTTGAGACACTCAGAATGCGGCTAGTTTTGAGGTCAATGAAAATTACCGTTACAATACATCGAAG